CTTGGCAGATGTGATTGTGCTTGAAGTGTCAGTGGCACATAGGGATGCTATGTGGAGTCTTGGCAGGCCCCTATAGGTGAATCAGAATGCAGACCCTTAGGATGCTAGAAGCAAAATCATGCCATCCTCTGTGGGTGATCTCTCCTTTTGAAAAACAGCTTTGTTACAATTTTTAAAAACCCATACAAATACATCCAACAGGTTTATGACAAAGGTGCAAGAGCAATGCTATAGAGGAGCAACAGTCTTCTCAACAAATTGTGTTGGTGCAATTGGATATACATAGGCAAAAAAAAAGGTAAATTTTAACCTAAACCTCACATGTTGTACAAAAATTAATTCAAAATGAATAACAGACTTAAATGTAAAACCTAAAACTACAAAACTTTTAGAATAAAACACAGGAGAAAATCTTTGGGACCAAGAATTAGGACAAGAATTCTTGGACATGACAACAAAAGCATAATCAATAAAAAATGGATAAATTGGACTTTATCAAAATTTAAAGCTTTCACTTGGTGAAAGACTCCACTAAAAGGATGAAAAGACAAGCTACAGACTGGGAGAAAATTTATGCAAACCCCCAACCTATTTGAAAGTGAACTCACGTCTAGAATATATAAAACTATCTCAAAACTTAACAGTAAAAGAAAGCAAACAATCAACTAGAAAATGAGCAAGAAACACATACAAAAGAAGTGCTACATCATTAGCTATTTGGCAAATGTAAATTAAAACCATGATGCGATGCCACGGCATACCAATTAGAACAGCTAAAAAAAAAAAAAATGACGACACTAAATGCCAGTGAGAATGCAGAGAAACCACATTTCTCATACGTTGCTGGTTGGAATATAAAAAGGTGTGACCACTCTGAAAAATAGCTTGGCAGTTTCTTAAAAAACTAAATATATACTTACCATACAATCTACTAATCTCACTGCTTGGCACTTATCTCCCTCAAATTAAAACTTGTGTCCACACAAAAACATGTACACAATGGATATATACCCCAAAGAGTTGGAAGCAGGAATTCATTGTACACCCATATTAATAGTAGCATTATTAACAGTAGCTAAAAGGTAATCCAAGTGTTCATCAATGGATAAATGGATAAACAAAATGTCGTATATATAATACACACACACACACACACACACACAAACAATGGAATATTATTCAGTCTTCAAAAGAAAGAAAATCTTGACAAATGCTACACATGGATGAACACAGAGGACATTATGCTAGATGAAATAAGCCAGTTGCAAAAGGACAATATCGTATGACTACACTTATACAAGGTACTGAAAGTAGTCAGACTCATAGAGACAGAAAGTAGAATGGTGGTTGCCAGGAGCTGGGGAAGAGGGGAGTGGGGAGTGATTGTTTAATGGATAAAGAGTTTCAGTTTTGCAAGATGAAAAGAATTCTGTGGATGGAGGATGGTAATATCACAACACTATGATGTACTTAATGCCACAGAACTGTACACTTAAAAAAGGTTAAGATTGTAAATTTTATGTTACGTGAATTTTACCATAATTAACATTTTTAAATATTAAAAAGTACATGAATGTTCATGGAAGTTTTGTTTGAAATAGCCAAAAATTGGAGACAAACTATCCCACAATGGGTAAATGGTTAAACAAACAGTGGTATCATGAATACTATTCAATAGCAGTAAAAAGGAAGAAACTGTTAGTACATGCAACAACTTGGATAGACATCAAGGGTATTAGGCTGAGTGAAAAAAAGCCCATCTCAAGTGGTTACATACTATATGATTCTACTTATATAATGTTCTCAAAATGGTAAAATTATAGGGATAGGAAACAGATTAGTGGCTGCCAAGGGTTAGGGATGGTGGGGGAAAGGAGAGAAGAGGGATGGGTGTGACTCCAAAGGAGATGCACAAGGGATCTTTGTGGAGATAGAACCATTTTGGTAACTGTTTGTTTTGTTTCTGTAGAGACGAGGTGACACTATGTTGCCCAGGCTGATCTCAAACTCCTAGGTTCAAGCATTCCTCTTGCCTAGGCCACCTGAAGTGCTGGGATTACAGGCATGAGCCACCATGCCCAGCCTAGTCCAGTTCTGTATCTTGATTGTGATGGTGGTTACAGAAATCTACACATGTGATGTGATATAATTGCATAAAAGTAGACACACACACACACACACACACACACACACACACACACACACAAATGAGTGCATGTAAAACATAAAATCCGAATAAACTCTATGGATTGTACCAGTGACAACCTCCTGGTTTTGATATTGTGCTATAGTTATGTAAGTTTTACCACTGGGAGAAACTGTGTGAAGTGTGCACGAGACTTTTCTGTACTATTTTTGCATCTTCCTATGAATCTATAGTTAAAGTTAAAAGTTAGAAACAAACATCAAGCCGGGCTCGGTGGCTCACCCTGTAATCCCGCTTTTGGGAGGCTGAGGTGAGTGGATTGCCTGAGCTCGCGGGTTCAAGGCCCGCCTGGGCAACTTGGCGAGACCTCACTTCTACAATAAATCAAAAATTAGCTGGGCGTAGTCGTGCGCGCCTGTAGTTCCAGCTACTTGGAAGGCTGAGGTGGAAGGATCGCCAGAGCCCAGCAGGTCGAGGCTGCAGTGGCTGGGTGTGACCGCTGCACTCCAGTCTGGGCGACAGAGTGAGACTCCAACTCAAAAAAAAAAAAAAAAAAAAAAAGAAACAAACATCAAATTAACTAAAATCAAAACCAAACTTGCTATAGGCCTTCATAGAGTCTGAGCACTTGAGTACCAACCAGCAAATTACCATGCAACCTGAACCGCCCGTCATGAACTGGTTTGTCTGACCCACCAAGCCATAAAGTTGACTGTGCACAGCAACACTCCATCATCAAATCTAAGTGGTACATATGAAGCTGAACTCGAGCAGGTCCTGAAGGCACAAGTAATTATGTGACTTCCTCATGCCCATGGCCCCTACTCCTGCTACACTATCTTCTCTCTTTCACCACAGCTTCATGAAGAACTGCCTATGACCAGTTGCTTGAAGAAAACTCTTGTGCTTGGTTTACACATGGTTCTGCATAAAATTCAGGCACCACCTGAAAGTGGACAGCTGCAATACTATAATCACACTCTGGGATGGCTCTGGACAGTGGTGAAGGTTAATTCTCTCTATGGGAAAAAATTAGAGCAGTGTACCTGGTTGTCTGTTTTGCCTGCAGAAGTACAGATCTGGCGGGGTGTGACGACTTACGCCAGTAATCCCAACACTTTGGGAGGCCAAGGTGGAAGAATTGCTTGAGCCCAAGAATTCAAGACCAGCCTGGGAAACAAAACGAGACGCTCCCTCTACAAAAAATTCAAAAATATTAGCCAGACTTGGCGGCACATGTCTGTAGTTCCATCTACTTGGGAGGCTGAGGTGGAAGGATGATGGTCTGAGCCCAGGAGATCAATGCTGTAGTGAGCTGTGATCGTGCTACTGTACTCTGGCCTGGGTGACAGAGAAAGATCCTGACTCAAAACAAACAAGCAAAAAATACATGTGTACACTTTTCATGAGCTGTGGCTAATGGAGAGCTGGAAGGTCAGGCACTTGAAAGGAACATAGAAAACTGGTGACAAGAAAGTCTAGGGAAGAGGTACATGCACAGACTTGAGCAAAGAATGTGAAGATAACTGTGTCCTGTATGAATGCTTACTAAAGGATGTTCTCCATGGAGGAAGATTTTAATGAAGTGGATAGAATAACCCATTCTGTGGATGTCCATTGGCCTCCTTCCCCAGCCAAATAGACTCAAGAATAGTGTTAGGAATGGAAGTTATGTATGGGCTTAATGTGGACTTTCACTTGCCAGGGACAATTTGGCTACAGCCACTGCTGAGTGCTCCATATTCTAACAGCAGAGAAGAACATCGAGCACCACTTCATGGTGATATGGCACCACTTCATGGGGCTCAGTCAGCTGCCTGGCTGTGGGTTGATGACACTGGATCAGTTCTGTTACAGAAGACGCAGCACTTTGTTCTTACTGAATAGACACTTTGGATATGAATTTGCCATTCCTACCCATAATGCTTCTGCAAAAACAACTATCCATGGACTTACAGAATGCTTCATTTGCTACTAAGGAATTCTATAGTGTTGCCTCTGACTTAGGAACTCCACGGCAAATGAAGGGTGGCAACAGGCCCTGCTCATGGAATTAACTGTTTTTACCACATTCCCTTCATCCTGAAGCAGTAGACTTGACATGTGAATGCATCCATTTCCTTTCCTTTAATTTAGCTGATTTGAGATGTCAAGTTTATGGAAAACGAGATGTATTACAAAATAGGTAGGAGTGAAATAGGTCGTCTACTTCAGCAAAGAAAAAGGTAAAACAACAGATGAAGAAACTGGGTCAGTCTTGATCATCTTTGCTCTAGATCGTCACTGTTTTTACGATTCTGTCTGTTCGGAATTTTTTATGCTAAACTTAAAAATCGGACGCCTGCCTGATTAGGATTCCCAGCCTCTTAACACTTCTGTGTTGCAGGTGTGTGGGCCATGTGGGCAGCGTAGATGGTATGAAACCAAGGCCGAGGTGGGGTAAAAATACAAAAACATGACCTAGGGCTGAGACACGCGCGTGTGACCAAACGTTAGAATCAGAATGAATCCACAAGTGCGTGTAAAATCCAGGGTAATTTGAGGGCTTCATCTGATACACCTCAGAGCTTTACTGGAGTTGGGTATAAGCAACCTCTCTACCCTCTTTGTCTGTCTTATTCACCCCTTGGGCCCTCACTACAGCTGGCTTCCTTCGGTGTTCATCCGCACCTTGCAAGGGTCCGCAGGGCCAGCTTGGGTGAGCCGGTGGTCCCGCCACCAGCAATTTCCCAGAGCGCGACACGAGACCCGCCCTCTCTCCGGTTAGAACCCGGAAGTTGGCCCCGCCCACTCCAGCAGCCAGTCCGAACCCCGCCCCGGGTCCTAACTCGAGGACCCCCCCCCCCCCTCGACGGGGGCTGTCCGCGGACGCGCCTGACTCAGCTTACCTGTGGCCCGTCCGGATGGTCTCCCGACCCGGCCTGCGCTGCGGCCTGGCCCTCGGGCCTCGAGAATTCCGCCGCGGGCCTCGGGCCGCGGGGTAACGAGGAGAAGTCGCGGCAGGCGGTGGCGAGGGCCGCCCCGAACGGAGGCGTAGGCGCTGATCCCGCTCCAACATGGCGGCGGCCGCGCGCGGTGCGGTGCGCCTCCCGGGTCTGTGCGGCCGGCCGGCGGGTGAGAACCGCGACCCCGGGAGCAGGGGATCTGGGCGGGGCGCGAGTGGGGTGCTGGTTTAGGGTCCACCGAGGCCGAGGCGGTACGACGCTCGAAGCTGCAGCGACGCGAGAAGCCGCAGCCTCTGGCCCCTCACGCTGGGTTTCCAGCCCGCCCGGACCTGCTGTGTGACCTTGCGCGCGTCCTCTCCTCCTCTGGGTCGCGCGGAGCCCTTGTCTGTGAAATGGGGATGCACCGCGCGCCGTTTGCCAGCGTTCCTTCCAGTTTACGAATTCGCTCGAACGAGCTTGGCGAAGGGGCGCGGGAACTGGCAAAGGGTCGCTTTCTGGGCGAGCGCAGCCCACGGGCTGGCTTGGGGATGTCGGCGTGGGGTTCAAGGCTGAGGTCTGCCAGCGAAGCTCGAAAGGAAAAGAGCAGCTGTCCTCCTTGAGACGCATGGGATTAGCCTCTGTCGTTTTAGATTCCGAGCTAAGAGGCCGTATTTAAAAAGACGGATGCTTTGAACGTCAGTACTTTCGCTGCTACTGCCCTCCCCGGCCCTCGGGGGATTGGGTGCAACTCTAGAAAGGGCTGGCGCCGGCCTCCCGCAGAACCTTTACCTCTAGGAACCAGTTCAAGTGTCTTCTCTGTCTGCAAGTCTAGCATTTCTAATTCCGAAGTCCAGAGACCCCCGAACACCTACACTTTCTTTCTCTCCCTCCCTCCCTACCTCTTTCTCTTTTCTTTCTTCTCGTTTTTTTCTACAAAATGTAACCTGAAATCATTTGGGGAAAAATCTGACCTGAACGTTGTTCTGTCCGTGCTGTGACCATCTCTTCCTTTCTCCTTCACAAGCTCTTACTGTTTGCAAGGGACTGTCCTAAGCTCTTCGTGCATTTTTTTCCTCACTTCCTCTTCATCATGCCTTCATGAGATAAATGCTGTCGTTATTCCCATTTTATAGATAAGAAGAGTAAGACACACAGAGACTGAGAAATTTACTCAAGGTTAGACTAGAAGGAGGTCAGGTTTTGCACCCAAACCGCCTGGCTCCAAAGCCTGTTTTTTGTTTGTTTGTTTTAAAGTGTGTTATTTAGTGGGTTTTAGTATATTCATTAAGCTGTGCAACCATCACCACCATCAGTTTTAGAACTTTTCATCACTCCAAAAAGAAAACCTGTGCCTTGTAGCTCTCACGCCCCAGGTCCTCAATGGCCGCCAAGCCCTAGGCAATCACTAGTTCACTTTGTATCTCTCTCTCTAGCTTGCCTGTTGTGGACATTTTATAGAAATAGAATCATATAATATGTGGTCTTTTGTGACCGACTTTTCACTTGGCATAATGTTGGCAGGGTTCATCCATGTTGTTGCATGTATTCGTACCTCATTCCTTATGACTGAGTGGCATTCGATTGTGTGAATACATGTTTTGTTTATCTGTTCATCAGTTGATGAACACTTGGGTTGTTTCCACCTTTTGTCTCTTATGCCTAATGTTGCTATAAACATTTGTGTGCAGTGTTTTTGTGTGCAGATATATTTTCTTTTGTGTATATATCTGGGAATAGAATTACTGGATCAAATGAGTCTCCATGTTCACTTTTTGGGAAACTGCTAGACTGTTTTCCAAAGTAGCTGTATCAGTTTCCATTGCTACAGTTTACAGTTTACATTGCTAGTATATAAGGGTTCTGATTTCTCAACATCCCTGACAACACTTGCTGTTATCTGCCCGTTTAATTGTGGCCATCCTAGTGGATGTGACATGGTATCAACTTGTGGCTTTGATTTACATTTCCCTCTTGGATAAGGAGCCAAAGGGAGGATGGAGGGGAGGGGGGTGGGGCATGAGGCTGATGTGGCAGGCCTGTAGGCTGCACTGAAGAGTTTTGACTTTGTTCTGCAGGCAGTAGGGAGCCAAAGAATGATATATCAGAACTGTGAAGTGAGCAGATTTGTTATTTTAGAAAGGTGGCAAATTAGAGGGGTAGAGATTGAAAGCAGGAGATGTATCAGGAGACTGTTGTTACTTGTGGCTGAGTGATGACCAGGCCTGAGCAAAGAAGGGGTTTTGAGGCCATAGCAAAGTGTAGCTAACAGGTGTATTTATTTTTAGGAGACTGTAGGGTTTGGTAGCTGGTTGGATGTCCGGGTGAAAGGAGAAGATGAGGTTGATGGCAGCTACTTGGCCAGTGGTCCTGGAGCCCAGGAATTATTCATTCACTTGTCTTGGTCCTTTATTCTATAGATATGAACATTTTGTGAGTGTTTCTGTTTAAAACGTTCTTTTTCATGTAGAAATGTATCTTAATTTTTTTTTTTTTTTAATTTGCAGGTCATTTATGGTCCAGACCGCTTTCCCTAAACACCCTTCCAGCAGTTTCTATTTTGGCCTTGAAGACTGGTCTCAGCAGTGGTGAGATTCATTTATTTCTTTAACTTGTCTCCTAAGAGTTCATGTGAGAGTAGTTAGTTTCTGTAGTTTTCAAAAATGTGAGTGAATGAAGCACATTTTTTGTAATGGAAATGCGTAGGGTCTTGAGTATTTTTCAGATTTTTTGTGATTGTAATTATTATAGTTCAAGGCTTTAAAAATAATAGCAATAGCTAAGTAATACTTGTGAGTAATTGCTATGTGTTAGGCTTAAAACTTGTTGTTTTGGTTAATCTTCACACCGATTTTTATGAGGGTATTATTATTCCCATTTTATAGATGAAGTGAGCCACTGAGAGGCTAAGTAACCTGTTCAAGATCATATAGTCAATGGCAGAAATGGGACCTGAGCTGTATGGATACCATGATGCCTTCTCGTATGTAACTCAGACCTTTCACTACACAGGACAGGGCCTGTCTATAGTCACTAGGAAGGAAGGAAGCCAACCCTGCTGATCAATTGCATTTTGCCTTTTCCACGTGAACTATAGTTAGGACAAAACTGAAATCTCATTGTGTCCTTGAGTTTCTGGAACTCTTGGGTGCTGGGCTTTAATTTTAGTTGTATTCCCTTTCCTCTTGTTGACTGCATGGTGAGATGCCTTTACACCTTGGTTAAGAGGTCCTGCAGGGGAGTCTGGTGGACCTGGACTCTTCCCTTTTCTGTTCATTTTGTGTGTTGGTTGATGCATTCATTCATAAACTACTTCCTCTGCCCTTTACTGTGACCCAGGCAGTCCCCTACCTGAACTGATGTGGGACCTGGAGAAGGTTTCTGTGAGGACAGCCAGAAGAGACTCAGGGCCAAGAGGATAGCCCCAGAGAGGACCCTGGCTGGGGAAGACTGACACAGAATGACACAGAATTCTCTGCTCCACTACTTTCTATCTTTGCAACCAGGTGTAAATGTTACTCCTTGGACCTGTGGTTTTATCATTTGTAAAATAGGGATAGTAATCTCTACTCTGAATTTTTTGTTTGTTTGTTTTGAGTTGGGAGCTCACTCTGTTGCCCAGACTAGAGTGTGATGACACGATCATGGCTTACCGCAGCCTCAACTTCCTGGACTTAGGTGATCCTTCTGCCTCAGCATCCCAAGTAGCTGATACTGCAGGCGCACACCACCATGCCTAGCTAAGTTTTTTATTTTTTATAGAGATGTGGTCTCACTATGTTGCCTAGGCTGGTCTCAGAATTTCTGGGCTCAAGCAATCCTCCTGCCTCAGCCTCCTAAAGTGCTGGGATTACAACTGTGAGCCACTGTACCTGGCCTTAGAATATTGAACTTCCAAAAGAGTACTAGAAGGTTTAGATCTTAGAACCAATTTCTTTTCTTACTCCATTGCATTGTCTAGTGACACTTTCAGTTTTCCATTTTCTTCTGGTTATACTTCTAAATATTTTGTGGATATTCTATCAACATTCTTATGTTAATTAAAAATTTAAGGCCGGATGCAGTGGCTTACGCCTATAATTCCAGCACTTTGGGAGGCCGAGGTGAGAGGATTATCTGAGCCCGTGGGTTCGAGACCAACCTGGGCAACTTGGTGAGATCTCATCTCTACAATAAATCAAAAAATTAGCTGGGTGTGGTAGTGTGTGCCTGTGGTTCCAGGCTGAGGCAGAAGGATTGCCTGAGCCCAGCAAGTCGAGGCTGTGGTGACTGTGAGCATGCCACTGCATTCCGGCCTGGGCGACAGAGTAATACTCCAACTCAAAAAAAAAAAATTAACTCTATACCATGTGCAGTGGCTCATACCTATAATCTCAGCATTTTAGGAGGCCGAGGTGAGACAATTGCCTGGGCCTATGGGTTTGAGACCAGCCTGGGTAACTTGGTAAGACCTCATCTCTACAATAATTCAAGAAAAATTAGCCAGGTATGATGGTGCACACCTGTGGTTCCAGCTACTTGAAAGGCTAAGGTGGAAGGATCACCTAAGCCAGCTGGTTGAGGCTGTGGTGGCCGTTTGTGTGCCACTGCTCTCCAGCTTGGGCGACAGAGTGAGACTCCAACTCCAACACACAAAGCAATCAAAAAAAATTTAACTCTTACTCCATTGTCTCTGCTTTCTTCCAACATAGTTATAAGCACAATATATTTTAATTTATAATTGACAAGTAATAATTATACATATTTATGGGATACATCATGATGTTTCAGTACGTATAATGCATGATGAACAGATTAGCGTCATTAGCATATCCATCATCTCAGTCATGTATCATTTCTTTGTACCATTTCTAGTATCCTAGCTACTTGACGTTATATATAGTATATATATATACTATAGTAATTCTACAGTAATTCTACAGTATTATAGACTATAGTATATAGTATAGTAATTCTACAGTATTATAGACACTAGAACTTATTCCTGCTATCTAGCTGTAATTTTGTATTCTTTTTTTTTTTTTTTGAGTTGGAGTCTCACGTCATTGCTCAGGCTAGAGTGCAGTGACAAGCTCACAGCCACCCCAGCGTCGACCTGCTGGACTCTGGCAATCCTTCTGCCTCGGCCTTCCATGTAACTGGAAGTACAGGCATGCGCTACCATGCCCAGCTAACTTTTGATTTATTGTAGAGATGAGGTCTCACCAAGTTGCCTGGGCTGGTCTCAAACCCGTGGGCTCAGGCAGTCCACTCGCTTTGGCCTCCCAAAGCGCTAGGATTACAGGCTGAGCCACAGAGTTCAGCCAATTTTGTATTCCTTAACAAACCCCTCCCTTCCTCCTACATTTCCTAGCTTGTGGTATCTTTTGTTCTACTTTTTTTTCTATGATATCAACTATTTTTAGCTTCCACATAGGAGTGAGAACATGTGGCATTTAATATTCTGATCCTGGATAAGCATAATTTGATTGAATCTCTAGGCAGTATTTTCTTTATTAAGGCTATGTATATATTCACAACTGAGTTAGGTTGAATTCTATTATTATATCGTACTTTCTTTTCCCTACAACATTTTCTTTTTCCTAGAATTGGTAATTGCTTTCTTTTTAAAAAGTTGCTTAGTTGTACCTGTATAGAAATAGTACCTATTACTATAATAGTATCTATTACAATATTTTTCTAAATGCTGTAACAGATTTGGTGAGAAATGTGGCAGTTTTTCTAAAATCTCTCAAACATTTCACTTTCATTACAAACCAGTTTGATTTAATGGAAGAGACTTAAATTAGAAGGAAGAAATTCTTAATGGTAAAAATTGTTAAAACACTGAAATGAAATCTTCGAGGGACCTCCTGGGCTTGGCTTACCTTAGCCTTCAGGGTCAGGGTGGTTGTCTCCTGAGATGGGCACTTCGTGATCTGAAATTAATAATAGTTCAAAGGATCAGAGCAGAATTGGTCATTGATCATTGATGGGTGAATCTATAACTGAGTGATTTAATACAAGCTGATGCTTTCTCTTGTTTTAAGAGCACATCTCATTTAAAACAAAGTCAGCTGTAGCATCAGTGTATGTTAAAACTGACTGTAAACTCTGAAGTCAATTTCTTCCTACATTTTGCAATTGGACCTTTTTTAGGCTAAGTAAGCTATTAGCTATAAGTAGTATTTCACTCTTTTGAAAAAGATTAAAGAATTATAATCTGATAGTAGTGATTTTTGCATTTCTTGAAGTATATCAAAGATTGCAGTACTAATCAGTGTAAGATTATCTTAAGTTGATATTAAATATTATTAATATAAATTATTTGCACTCGGAGACATCTCACGGTTCACCTACCAGCAACTCGATCACACTTTTTTACAAAATAGTGATAAACATACCGCTTCATATTAAATAATGTAGTGTTGGAACCGATTATTTTATTGTAATGATATTTGGCTTACAGTGGAATTTTGGACATTGCGGAACTTATTTAAGACAAAAAATATCAAAATTTTTTATCTTAAATTTTTTCAAACTCTTGTGAAAACAATCATGGACATGCATTGCAGCTTCATTGATACATGTTGTGCAATAGTAACTTGTTTGACATTTTCCACTTGGTGTTTTCCGGTTTGAGCAGACAATGCCGTCTCATTTTCTTCCTCCCATATTAATAATGTGTAATTTATTGTCCAGTCTGTTGTTCAAAGATAATGTGGAAACATGCACTCATGATTCCTGAAAAACACTTCTCAACTGATAGATCAGAAGCTTGACAAATTTCAAATGGGGCGTAGGTTTTTTGTTTTTGAATGGAAAATTTCAAGCAAACATACTTCTTTGAAAAATTTTCACTTGCATATATTTGTCCTTTATAATCACCAGCAGTCTGTTTATACCCTCTGAGAGGAGATATCTGAATGGTTTGCTAGATTTGAGATGTCACCTCAGAGGAGACATCTGAGTGCAAAGGGTTCGGTTGAAAATTTGTTGAAAATTAAGGAGTATAAGAAAAACTAAAAGGTATCCTGCAAAATGGGATTTGGAATGACAATTGAAGTTCTGAATTTATTTAAAATGAAAACCCAGTATTTTCTTTGTACTTCTTATTGATCAATTCATTAAGTCAGTTCATAGTGCCAAAAGGACCTCAGTACATCGTCCAAAGTCTGCCTCCATGCAGTATCATAATTCATCTGGGGTTGGAATTGGTGCTTAAATCCCATCTACTAACTAGTCTTATACTTTTGGCAAATACTTAGCCCCATAGACCTAAATTTTTTGTTTTGTAAAATGAAGAAATTGGATAAATAATCTTTAGTGATTAAAAGGAGATTATTCCCCCCCCCTTTTTTTTTCCTGGAGTCTCACTCTGTTGCTGAGGCTGGAGTGCAGTGGCAGCTCATAGCTACCACAGTCTCAACCTACTTGGCTCAGGTGGTCCTTTCACCTCAGCCTTCCAAGTAGCTGGAGCTACAGGCATACACCACCATGCCTGGCTGATCTTTTGACTTATTGTAAAGATGAGGTCTTGCCAAGTCGCTCAGGCTGCTCTCGAACCCCTGGGCTCAGGCAATCCTCTCACCTATGCCTTCCAAAGTGCATGGGAGTCACCATGCCTGACCAGATTATTCTTTTATTTTTCAGGGACTGTATGCAGTGGAGATGTTTTGATATTTAGTATTACTTTTTTGTCATATATTTAACCAAATTCTTAATTGCCATTTAAGTTCATTTCTGGTGCATGGCCCTCTGTGGTGATGAAGCAGCTGTTACTGTCTTCTCCATAACTTTGTGGATTTGAAAGTAGCTCTTGTCACTCTTACCCAATACCCTTAAGTAGCTTTTTTTTCTTTCAAGGACTGTTTTAATTCCCTTTGTCACGTCTCTCATAGTCTCCAGCTTTGTTGAAATGCAGAGCTCAAAGGTATATGCACTGTTTTTATTAGTAATATTCCCATTTCTTTGCAATTACCATTTCTTCATACCCTGCCCTTTTCCTCACAGAACGCCACCACCCATGGGATTGAGCAAATGGCTGCCTCTAAGATATGGCTGTTCAAAACATTTTTTTAAAAGTAACAAGTGCATATGGTGGAAAAATTCCAAAAAATACAAAAAAGCAAGCCCTGCATATCCAACCTTAAATACATCAGATTTCTTTCCCAGAGGGAACCCTTTTTTTTTTTTAACACCAGTTTCTTACATATGCTTCTAGAGTTAGTCTGCAAAATACATTTACATCCTGCTCCAGGTGTTTTAAACGTCAAGTGTGGAATGCACTATACGCTGTCCTGCACCCAGCTGTTCTGACCCAATCCTGTCTTTCCACATCAGTGCATCGCCTGACTGCATACAGCAGAGGGCACCATTTGCCCAGAGTAGACTGCTGCACAGAAACCCTGTGTGGACAGCTCTTTTTTTTTAAAGACAGGATTTTGCTCTGAAACCCAAGCTGGAGTGCCCTGGCACAATTCTAAATCAACTTGAACTCTTGGGCTCAAATGATTCTCCTGCCTCAGCCTCCCAAAGTGCTGGGATTACAGGCATAAGTCACCACCCCAATCAGATCTGTTTCCTTTTTACACAGCTGCATCCGTTGTGTGGATGAGCTGTAACTTCTCCAGCTAGGGTGAGCGTTTAGGTTGTTATCGGTCAAAGTTGTTTTATTTTTTAAAGAAAGACTGTCCTTGAAATCAGATTCTCAATATTTAAGGATTTTAGTAACTTATTTTTGTTAGTAATGATTATTTGGTGCTGGCAGTGTTTCTTCACAGCCATGGAGCATCTAGCTTAAAGTTTTGTTTCCTCTACTTACAGGCCCTTTGTCATCGCTGGGAACGAGAGACAACCGTCATTATACCAGCTTGAGCTATGCGCTGCAAACACAATGCTATATTTCTTCCCCGAGTAACTGGATGGCTCAACAGTATAGACCGTATAGTTTCTTCACTAAATGTACGTAGAATGGCCACAAACTTCCTGTTTCATGAAATAGGAAAATAAAGAGTGCTTTGTATCTTAATTTTTATTTTCCTTTGTTAAATGAATTAACATTTTACTGATTGGCTTTATGATGTGCTATTAAAATAAAAATGTTCCTTGATAGACCTCCTAGAATTATTTCACATGCTGCCAGTTTGCTTATACATTGGGGAGCATTAGTTCACATTGATCCCCTGATTTGGGGCACCCGAGGCCCGAGTGGCATAGAACAGTGGTCCACATCCCCTGCTGATTTAGATCTGTGTCGGTAATACACTTACACTCTGTTTTCAGCTGTGCCTTAGTTGAGGAGATAGATATTTGGTCAAGAAAAGTTAATTTTGAGGAGACATTGTTTGCTGACACTACTCCTATTTGTAATAGTATTTGAAAAAGTCTATTATGAACTGAAATTAGCTTGTCAGGTGATAGATGGAGATTGAATTCACAACTCGTCATCAAGCAGATTAAAAGAAATTAGGATAATAAAGGCAATTCATGCTTAGTTTTGAATATTTGGTGAATAAATAAAAATCAAAAAGGAAAAAATCACCTGTATTCCTACTACCCTAAAATACTGAGTTTGCTGCTTTTTTCATGTAGCAATATATTATACATTTTTCCATGGACTTCTGTAATGTTGTGACTGTAGAGTATTTCATTGTATGATATAAGTCACTTTAATTTGGTGGTCTCTTGGTAACTAGGTCATTTGTGTAGCAATGCAGAGGTCAGGTGGTGGGGGATTAAGTAACTTAGTTACTTAAGTTGTACCTGCAGATTTTGTACTAAGAAGAGAGATGGATAGAGTTACAGCCATTAGTCTCTGCCCTTGGTACCCAGGGGCTCGATTTTTTTCTAAGAGTTGGCTTTTTACTCTTAGGAAAGGGCTATATCAAATTTACAGGCCTTGGGAATTTTTATTTTTTATAGCCTGTTCTAAGATGCCTTTTCTCAAATTCTTCTTGTTGCAGAAGTGCCTCCTTACCCTCTGAGACCTCTGTCCTTCATGCTTGTCCCACACCTGCCTCTGACTCTCCATTTGCCGTGTTCTTCCTCCTGTTACATGACCTGGTTCCCTTATGAGTTTGTTGTTCCCAAGTCATATTGAGATTATCTCCAGTGGGGTGAACTCAGTTGGAATTAGCATGGAACTAGTTTTGCTCTTGCAGTGAGAAATCGTTTTTGATTTCAAAATGTCCAAAAAGTAAAAAGTCACAATTTTCCAAAACTCATTAAGATTTCATGAGAATATTTAACATTGTACTTGTAAAATTGTCTGTCTGCTGTAGAGGATCCACCATGTAAATCCCTTTGATTCACATTAACAGGCAGTATTACTTAGGGTTATGAAGTGAGGAGTAACTCAGTATATCAAATTGGATATCACAGTGGCTTTTATGTATGTGTATGTGTGTGTGTATAAAATATGAACCTCAGTTTTTTATAACTATGGTAGTCAACAGGTGTATATATTACACTTTTCCAAAAAATGACAGAGTTAAAAAATGATAGTAAATTTATTTTAAAACATAAGAATTTTATAATTTGAAAGAGAGTTAAAAATATTTTTAATAGTATAATGGCATTCAAAAACTGACTGATGACTTGCTATCTTTTTGAAATGTAGTTAGAATCTTATACCTGGGGGAAAATAGTAAAGTCTCTGCTAAACTAACTTAACTTGTAGCCATTAAAAAATGATGTCTGTGTCAGCGGGGTGTGGTGGCTCACACCTGTAATTCCAGGACTTTAGGAGACAGAGTTGAGAGGATTGCCTGAGCCCAGGGGTTTGAGACCAGCCTGGGCAACTTGGCCAGACCTTGTCTCTACAATAAATTAAAAAAATAGCTGGATGTGTTGGTGCACACCTATTTGGAAGGCTGAGGTTGAAGGATCACCTGAGCCCAGAAAGTGGAGGCTGCAGTAGCTGTGATCGTGTGATTGCATTCCAGCCTGGGTGACTGAGTGAGATTCTGACTCAAAAAAAGCCAATAATAATGTTTGTAACTAATATTTAAGAATATGGGAAAAGACTTACAATGTAATATTAAATTAAAAAGCAGGATACGAAATTATGCATATGATATAATTTTAATTTTGTTTAAAACAAATGTATACTATGTATGCATGTGTTAAAAAAAAGGCAGAATAAACATTCTGATCTAACAGTGGTAATGGGGTTATGATTTTTAAAGTAGTCTATATTTTCTCGATTTTAAAACAAATATTTTATAATTTGAAAAAGTTAAAAACATTTTTTGGGGACCGGGTGCCGTGACTCATGCCTGTGTTTCCAGCTACTTGGAAGGCTGAGGCAGAAGGATCGCCTGAGCCCAACAGGTTGAGGCTCTGGGGGCAGTGAGTTTGCCACTGCACTCCAACCTGGGCAACAGAGTGGTACTGACATTTTTAATAGCATAATGGCAATCAAAAGTTGACTAACTAATGACTTGCTCTCTTTTCAAATGTAATTAGACATTTTACTCTCCTCTTATAATATATTTTTAGAGCTAAACTCTTAATTCAGTTGTTTTTATATTTTTATCTCAATGTCAAGTTCCTTTTAGTCTTAATGAGTGATTAATGTGTGAATTCTAAGTGAAAGAAAACTGTAGTTGATTGACCTCCTCGTATGCCTCCATTACAAGTGAACTCTCAAGTTTTTATGGCATTTATAGGACCATCATTTTTAAGCAATAAGGGAAAAAATCTTTGGTAAGAGTTTAACTTGAGGTTGGTGCTTTTATTTTGAACCTGTGGTCAAAATAAAAGTGAATTCGTGTCAGCTTGAAGTTTTAGCTTAATCTTTTGTTCGGATCCGAGATGTACAAAGCAGCATGTGATGTGGAATCTCACTGTTCTGAGCTTCACTTAAGACTAGCTGTATCCTATAATCCCAGCACTTTGGGAGGCTGAGGCGAGTGGATTGCCTGAGCCTGAGCCTGTAGGTTCGACAACAGCCTGGGCAATTTGGGGAGACCTCGTCTCTACAATAAAATAAAAAATTAGCCAGGTGTGGCAGCACACTCCTGTAGTTCCAGCTACTTGAAAGACTGAGGTAGAAGGATCGCTGGAGCCTAGTGGGTCGACACTGGGGTGGCCCTGAGTGTGCCCCACTGCACTCCAGCCTGGGTGACACAGTGACACTGCCTCAAAAAAAATAAAATAAAATAAAAATAAAGACCAGCTGTAACTTATGTGTGTGTTTTGAAAAACAGTATACTAGACAAACATAAAGCATTAAAAACATTGTTATCTACCTGGAAGATCAAGGTCAGGCCTTTCAGGAAGCAGCGGTAGAAGTTTTAAGCCCTAAGGTTGTGTGACAAGAATGAAAGTACCTATTTGTCTTCTAGAGTATGTTTAGTATTCCAGGCTTATAGATATTTACAGAGGGTGCTAAAAAAATGTATACACAATTAAAATTGTAATACTTAATATATACGTACCTGTCACATGGTGACGCTAACATTCATTTGATTAACGCCATCTTTTGAGCGAATGTCATACTACACATTGCTACTGTAATTCAATTCAACTTTGAAAAGTAATACATAGATAACATCCTCTTAAAATGTGTATACAGTTTTTTGGCACCCCTGGTATGTGTCTTAGGGTTTTTTTACTAGTCTGATATTTGTGTGGTTCTGAGTCTTTACCAAATAAATTGATAATGGAGCAATAGATGTTATAACCATGGATTCTGTTCTAGATTTATAGGTTCAGTTTGGGATATTTATTCTTGTTTGGACTAAGAAATCTGTATTTAAGAAGGATGGTTATTAATTATCTTAATGGTTACAATAGAGACAAGAGGACTGGGAAAGACCTATATCATAGCTGATAAAATGTCAGGGAAACAAACCTACTGGCAATTAACTAGGAAAATTGGTTGTCTTTGTAGGGAAAAGTAATAGAGTTATCTCCTTGGGCTTTCTGAATGTAACCATGTGATATGTGCAAAGAATGAATTGATTTTGCTTTAATTACCTCAGTGATGTGGGTAAAGCTGGCCTCTTCTGGTCATTTTATTCAATAGGTGACCATAGATCATTGCTTGGAAGCTACAGAATTAAAAAAAACAAAAACCTGTCTCATTACAGTGACGGCTGATGAGCTGTGGAAAGGTGCTTTGGCAGAGACTGGTGCTGGTGCAAGAAAAGGAAGAGGCAAAAGAACTAAAAAAAAGAAAAGAAAGAATTTGAACAGGGGTCAGATCATTGGTGAAGGTAAATTTATTTATGAAGGCAGCTAAAGTGCTTTTTATGTTTTTCCCCAGATGTTAGACATTATACAAACTAGAAGCATCAAAATGTTTCTCCTGAAGAATACTAGGATCTGTGGTTTTAGAATTCAACCAAATGACTTACTCATTGCTCCAGATCCTAGGGGACGAAAATCTCATAGAAAGTGATGCATTCATTCAACAAGCATTAGATGTCCCTGTGCGGGATGGGATCTCCTGCAACAGTCCCAGCCCTCAAAGAGCTTACAACTCAGTGGTAGAAGATGGACTGAATGGAGAGTCGGCAAATATTCTCTGCAAAGAGAAGATAGTAAATATTTTTGGCTTTGTGAGTTACATGGTCTGTTTTGCAACTACTCAACTCTGCTCTATAGCCCCCAAACAGTGGTGGATAATATATATCAAATGGACATGGTCCTTTAAAACTATATTTACAAAAACAAGTGGTGGACTAGATTTGGCCTGTGGGCCTTAGTTTGCTGATCCCTAGAGCACATGATTGTTTATACCCATGCTTTTGGAAAGATAAAAATAATATAGTATACTTGAATCAGTCCAGTTTGTACGTGGTCGCTGGCAACTCATCTTTGATAACCTATCAGAAATTAAGAAAACATCTAGCACTGCACTTCTAGCACCACACGTCTACTTGGATGTTTTTTCTTTATGACTTACCTTGTATCCTATTTTTTAAATACTTTTTAAAAAATTATAAGATTCATGGGCTGGGTGCTCTGACTTACAGTTGTGATCCCAGCATTTTGGGAGGCTGAGGCAGAAAGAGCCCTTGAGCCCAGGAGTTCAAGATCAGCCTGGGCAACATAGCAAGATTCCATCTCTACTTAAAAAGTCATGTATGTGTTCTCACTCATAAGTGGACCTTGAAAAATTATCGTAATACTATAAGAAAAGAATTGGCAGTAGCAGGAAACTGCCAGTGGGGTGGGGAGGAAGTTTTGGCCGTAGTTGGGAATCTGCCGGGGGAGGGACACACCTCATCAACAAGGATAACTGCATAGTGAACATTTGCATCCTTAACCCTGAATTGTACCCCACATCTTTAAAATGAAAAAAATTAAAAGTTAAAAAAAATCATAAAAAAGTCATGTATATATACCTTCTCAGTAAAAAATGCAAAGATTTTAGCTTAAGTCTCCCTTGATAGTCCTTTTATCTCCTCCAGTGCCCTGAAGTTTTCTTCCCTGAGGAAATCACTGGTCTGATTTTGGTGCATTTCTTTCAGTATTCTTAACGCTTTCATGTATATAAATACATATAAGAAATATATCTTTATTCTTTTAAAAAAAAATTAAATTATATTATATGATACATGCTGTCTTATAATTTATTTTTTTCACTCAATAATAGGTTTTGGAAATCATTCCACTTAAGAACCTAGAAAGCTACCTCGTTCTTTTGACTTAGTACAGAATATTTCGTATGTTGGGAATGCTATCATGTGTTCATCCAAACATTCCACCATTGCTGGACATCTGGGTTGTTTGCATTTCTTGCCTTTACTAATGATGTTCCAGTGGATATCCTTCTCCAAGCATACATATGCCTTGTACCTGAATGTGTTTCTCTAAGTAATACCATGAAGTGAAATCACTAGCTTATAGGGTTGATATGTTTAAAACTTTGATAGGACCAAGTGACCTGCCAAGTTACTATATTAGCTTAAGCTCCTACCAACAGTGTAGCGTTATCTATACATGTATTGCTTGGCATTTTAATATCTGAAAAATGCTTTTAGAAAATTATTATTTATTTATATTTTTAAACTTTCAGGGCGCTATGGTTTTTTGTGGCCTGGTCTGAATGTCCCCATTATGAAAAACGGCGCAGTGCAGACCATTGCCCAAAGGAGCAAGGAAGAGCAGGAGAAGGTGGAGGCCGACATGATCCAGCAGAGAGAAGAATGGGAACGGAAGAGGAAGATGAAGGTTAAGCGGGAGCGAGGATGGAGTGGAAACACGTGGGGAGGCGTCAGTCTTGGCCCCCCAGATCCTGGTCCCAATGGAGGTAGCAGAGACCGCGTTGTGTTTGTCTTTGTGACAGAGAGAGGATTTGTAGTTTAGAATTTCCTTGACATGACATTATTTTCCTGTCTGTTTAGGCTGCCTTTTTCCAAAAAAGGATTTGAGCATCTTTGAGATAATTTATCTAGTATTTTATGGAATACTAGAGGCCCATAGCCAAGAAGTATTTCACTCACAGGATGGAAAGCCCTGGGTTCTTAGTGTCCTATCATGTGACTCCTCAGAACCTTAACTATGCTGATGCTTATGGATCTATCGGAGCTGCCCAGAGGATACAGTGCTTCCCAGACACAATTGACCATGAGGTACCTGTGGAGCAACATGGTTTGGGAATGCTGTCCTAATGGTAGAAGTCAACAAACCAGATAGTTGTCATTTAACCTCATGCAAGCACACATGAAACAAAAATGATAATACTGAGGTCTGATTAGAAAATAAAATCCCTCTCCCCCACCAAGTATGTAAAGAAGTGAAATCATTTTAAAAACTTGTTCTTGTCAATGAATGGAAAAAGTGGGCTTATTCAAGAGTTTGGCTGCCTTCGTGAGAAGTTTGGCTTAAAGAGAAGGGGAGAGGTTGAGGTGGAGAGGTTCAGGTGAACGTGTTTAGAACTGACCAAACGCTTCAGTCAGGAGGATGAACGTATGGAAGGGAGAGAACACAATCCAGAAACTAAGTCCCCAGTGAGGACCCAGATTGAGTTTAGACAAGCGGGTTAACTTGGGCAGGATCCAGAGTCAGGTGAGCCTGAATTGTTGGTTGTGGGAAGGTGGAAGTGGTGTCTGGTGGCTGCAGTTAGTCTGTAAGGAGGAGGTGGAGTCATCTGCTGAAAGTGAGGTGGGTCACTGATGAGCATGGCCAGCAGAATATTTCTTTATGAAGAGGTAGGGTGTCTGGAACTGGCTCCAAACCTATCCAGTGGAGTGGGAGCTGGACAGAGTTTAAAGGGAAGAAGAATGACTATGAGTTGATATTTGTTGAAGCTCACTAATGGGTACATTAGTTTTCATTCTACTTTTCTATTTTAGTATAATTTAAATGTCCTATAATAAAAGTTTTAAGGCCGGGCATGGTTGCTTTAATCCCAGCACTTTGGGAGGTTGAGTGAGGTGGAAGGATTGCTTGAGGGCAACCTGGACAACATAGGGAGACCCCCATCTCTACAAAAATAATTCAAAAATTAGCCAGGTGTGGTGGCACATGCCTGTAGTCCTAGTTACTTGGGTGGCTAAGGTGGAGGGGGGATTGCTTGAGCCCAGCAAGTTGAGGCTGCAGTGAGTCATGATCACAAGACTCTATCCTGGGTGACAGAGTGAGACTCCATCTCAAAAAAAAAAGTTTAAAAAGTAAAAGAACGTAGAGAGGATTTGAAATGGCTGCTGTGGTGAGCAGAGAGAGACTACCTACAAGAACATAAAAGGCTGACAGGTAACAGGAAGGACTTGACTGAACTGGAGACCATGACTTTTTAGGGGCCTACATGTGTGCTATGCTTGGGCTTCTCTCCAGCAGCACCCAGCAGGCCAGGTGTGGCCACGCAGCTGTATTGATTCAGGCCTGGGTAGTATTGTGGAGAAAGAAAAGGGTGAGGGAACTGAGGACATTTGCAAGATCTGGTGGAAATAGTGGGAAAATCTATGTCTTTGCCAAGTTGGAGAAGCTGTGAAGACTAGAGGGAACTAAATGGGGAAGCACTGATCAAGAGTCTGGGGATGCCATGGAGCCAACGAGTGAGGGACCCAGACGAAGAAGATGCAATCCAGGAGCTAAGTGACTGAGTTTATGAATTTTGTGATGGAGCAGTCTGGGTATGGCCTTGAGAGATTCTTTCTTTCTGGAGAGTTTGTGATGGTGCTTGTGTTGAAAATGCTTTCATATGTTAATGGTATCGACATATTTAATTTGTTTACCTGTTTCTTTTTTCTACAGAGACATATGACGATTTTGATACAAGGATACTTGAGGTAGGCATGCTGAGTTAAATACCCGGTTAAGCCTTTGGAGAGGTTGTGGTGGGTGGTGCTGGGATAGGGCAAGAAGAACTGTGAGTAAAAGCCACTGCTGCATGACTTGCTGAGACACAGAGTTGATTTGGGTAAGGAAATAATGTAACTTTAATTTCAGTTATTTGGTGTTGGCTCTCCTGACTGCTGCCTTTTTTGGGGATCTACCAGATTGAGTTCTCATGACAAGGCAGCTTCGGGAGTATTGTTTTGTTTTGTTTTTTTTCTTTAGAAAGCAGGATTTACTGAGAAGACAGCAAAGCTCTCACAGTGGGGGGGGAGGGGGAGACCCGAAGGAGTTGCAGTGATAGTATTGTTAATTGCAGAATTTTGAGATTAGGTTTAAATTTCTTCCTCAAAGCTAAAGTAGTATTAACAGCCTATCTTGAATTATAAACCAGCTGTATCTAGCACTGAATTCAGGGAGCTGAAATTGGGAGGAACTATGTGACAGGATAATAGTAGAGTTGTGGTGAATGTCCAGTTCTTGATGGGAAACTGGTCTCTGGGCTTCTCACAGTCCCTTGAAACTAAAGCCTGTATCAGGCAATTTACAGTCACTTTCCAGGGCATCTCTGACATAGTCAACTTTCCTTTGAGCTGACACTACATACTTAATGTTACATACCATGTGAAATAATCATTTATTCCATTTGTGATTGAGCCTCTGAATTTGTTTTCTCAATGTCAGTTGCATTATAGAATTTAAAATATGTGTACAAGTATTATCTCTGGTATCCCAGTTTATAACTTTCGAAAGTTATCCCTTTGAAGAGTTCTATGCATGTGGGTGATTTTCTGATTTTCTATGGGAGTCGATTTGAGATTCATTTTCTTTTAACCCCAATTTATGGGAAAGGGACTGCTGTGAACCAGAGAGCTGGTGACCATATAACCCAGCAGTTTAATTAACACCTTCATTGTTCATGGCCTCTTAAATATACTGGAAAAGAATACAGATTTTCCTGTAGTTCAGAAATAAGCAGGTATTTCCGAATTTTCTATTCTCAGTTGAGCTTAGTCCTTAGCATAGAGATCCAATCCTTTGCTAATTATTTCTATGTACCACATTTCATCATTTCTAAGATATACATTTTTTCATATTTTAACATCTCTGGTATTGGGTGGGGTATATCTTACAATCAGTGATAAACTATGCCAAAGTTTGACCAGCAACTTTTCCTTCCCTGTGGTATGCTCATTAAGATAGGTTATATTAAGTTGTATAGTTTCAAAATTCCTTTAAAGGTTATCTTAATTGAACCTTCTTATAACTCTGGGAAGTTTCATTTTTAGAAATTTTGCTGTTTGTGCACACTAAATTGGTGGGTGATGTGTCTCTTCACTCTGTGTGTGTGTGTGTGTGTGTGTGTGTGTGTGTGTGTGTAAGGTAGGTTTCTCTGGTTCCCCACTTTACAATTTTCTTTAGGTGTAATACTTATTAGACATTTTGTCTTTTAGGTAAGAAATGTTTTTAATATGACAGCAAAGGAGGGAAGAAAGAGATCTGTTGAACCTTCTTATAACTCTGGGAAGTTTCATTTTTAGAAAGTTTGCTGTTTGTGCACACTGAATTGGTGGGTGAGGTGTCTCTTCACTCTGTGGGGGTGTGTGTGTGTGTGTGTGTGTGTGTGTGTGTGTGTGTGTGTGTGTGTAAGGTAGGTTTCTCTGGTTGTGTGTGTGTGTGTGTGTGTGTGTGTAAGGTAGGTTTCTCTGGTTCCCCACTTTACAATTTTCTTTAGGTGTAATACTTATTAGACATTTTGTCTTTTAGGTAAGAAATGTTTTTAATATGACAGCAAAGGAGGGAAGAAAGAGATCTGTCCGTGTCCTGGTCGCTGTGGGGAATGGAAAAGGAGCCGCAGGTGAGTCGGTGTAGTGGTACCTGCAGGGCTGATGGTGTGGCAAACTACAGGCATGGCCTGGGCCATGCTGTAGAATCCCTGGGCTCTTGGGGCTGGCCAGACTTTTTCTACTAATTGAACCTTTTGGTGATTCATGAGCTCAAAGCCTTGAAGTATAAACCAGCTGTATCTGGCACTCAGTTTCAAATAAACTATGCAATCCCTTAGAAAGAAAAGAGAATAGATCTTTTCTACACCTGCCTTTTCCTCTGAGGACAACAGATATTTTTTAAGGCTTAAGATACTATTATATTTTGTGACCTGCCTGGGCAGGCGAGACCTCATCTGTACAATAAATCAAAAAATTAGCCGGGCGTGGTAGCACACGCCTGTAATTCTGGCTACTGGGAAGGCTGAGGCGGAAGGATCGCCGGAGCCCAGCAGGTTGAGGCTGCGGTGGCCGGGAGCGGCCACTGCACTCCAGTCTGGGTGACAGAGTGAGACTCCAACTCAAAAAAAAATACTATGATATATTTATAATAGTGAAAAATTAGGTGGAAAAAACACTAAATGTTCAATAGGGCTATGGTTACAAAAACAATATAGCCATACAATGTAATATTCGGTATCCATTAAAGAATTATAGGGAATTACCTAAAAATTACTACATTTATTTATTTATTTATTTGTAGAGTTAGGGTCTTACTTTGTCAAAAATACTACATTTATTTATTTAGAGTTAGGGTCTTACTCTGTCATCCAGGCTGGAGTGCAGTGACGTGACAATCATGGCTCACAACAGCACTGACCTCCTAGGCTCAAGCAATCTACCCACTTTGCCTCCCAAAATGAGCCACCATGTCCAGTTTTAAGTTTAAAAATGCACAAAAACTTTATAGAAGACTATATAGTGTAATCCTGATTTAAAAAAAAAAAGTGTATGCAAAGAAAAGACTTTGAAGACTATGTACTGCAAAGGTTGATAGAGTTTACTCCAATTAGGTTTGCTGATATTTACATTTTTTTCTTTATACATTTCTGTACAGTTTCCATAGTGGACATCTGTTTTTGAAATATATACATGCATGTTGAAGGGGAAGAAAACACTGTAAAACTGCCTACTTTAGCCTATATTAAGTTTCAAAACAAAAGTAATCCATATAGACAGTATGTTGCCAAAGGAAACTATGTTTAACAGTTACTTTTGTGTCCTTTCAGAAGTTTTGTATTCTTATTTTTATTCAATATGTTCATACAGAGGGATAATATGATGACTATAATTTTGTTTGTTGCTTTTTTTTTTTTTTTTTCCTTAGTATTAATCTCAAAGATCTCCCTGTATAAGCCTAAATGGATTCTCCTCATTATCTGTCAAGTTGCAAAGTGTTCCATTGTGTGGATAATTTTTGTAGCCTTTTTCTATTGCTGACTATTTATGTTTCAATTTTTACTATTTATAAAAAGCAGTGAGCTTCTTGTACATGTACATTCTTGTACTTTTATAGTTCTCAACAGGGAAATATTTTGCAGTAAAATTTTTGCTACAAGGTTAAATGCATTTTTAAATGCTGAAAAGTATTATGTTGCCCTTCCTAAAGATTTCATCAGTTCATGTTCCTTGTACCATCATGTCTTGCCAGTCCTGGATATTTTCAGACTTTTCTAATTGTCAATATGATGTGTGAAACCTGTTTTTCAGTTTTGATTTGCATTTTTGGGATTATGAGAGTTTGAACACCACTTCATGTGTGTGTCAGCCATTGTTAGTTCATTTGAAGATCTGTCAGTCGATGTACTTCACCCATTGTTCTAGTGGTGGTTGTTCTCATGCTCATTGATTGGTATAAGCTTTCTGTAAGTTAAGGACACTAGCCCTTTGTCTATTAGGTATTTTGACTTAGTTTTTTTTTTTGTTGTTGTTTGTTTTTGTTTTTTTTTTGAGTTGGAGTCTCACTCTTGTCGCCCAGACTGGAGTGCAGTGGCTGCTCCCGGCCACTGCAGCCTCGACCTGCTGGGCTCCGGCGATCCTTCTGCCTCAGCCTTCCAAGTAGCCAGAATTACAGGCATGTGCTACCA